CTGTTTGAAATTTTTAGTTCAACGATACTGTATTTTTGGAGGCGGTATGGTGAGTTTTGCCATGTGATCGATCGCTCACTTCAAGCGTATTACAGCTGCAGCGGGTTCTGTGGTGGTAGGGGACGTGAGGTGCATGTCTTTTTTGATTGATGAAACACTTTTGCAAAAACCATGCCATTAAGGACGTGCTTTCGGTAGGAATCACATAGTTCCACTTCTATTTTCAGAGCAATTCGAAAGCGATGTGTTTTTCAAGGATTTTCGGATTTTTTCAATCGATACGCATTTGTTTTGCGCGACCTGTATTGCACTCGGCCATGATGCGAATTGCTAAAAGCGTCACTAACTGAATAGAAACTAGAACTTCCTAACGTCAAAGGCGCGTACCTCCAATCGCATGGTATTTGCCAAAGGGTTTTCATTGATATAATACTCACTTACATAAATATTAAATTACAAGCACCATAAGCTTTATCAAATGCAATGGCTGCTCCTCTCAAAATTCTTCCCCGGCAGGACTGACTTATTTGGAGTAGTGTTATGTGGACGCCATTCTAAGTTTTCAATGTGTCGAGCATCTAAAGGTTTGAGTACGATTTTCCATGACTTGAGAATAACGTCTAACAAGAGTATATCGATCCAGATCCTCTTTGGCTACACGAAACTCGTCCGTAGCTTCGTCGAATGTTCTCATTTGATAGAGAAGCGTCTTCGCCTACTAGACGTTGCAGCATTGGTCGGGAGTTTTGTACAGGGTGTGAAAAAAGTATTTACTTCTGAAAACGAGTGCATAACTTGGTAAAATCATCATTTTGGTCGTATTATCTTCATGTTCATGCAGAATGCACGTACTGAAGTTATTAGGAACAAATTGTTGTTCTTACGATGTTATGGTTTCGTTTTCAGTGGTAAATACTTCCTACGTTCTTATTTTTAATTGTGGTTTTGCAGCTTTTCACAGAGGTGAAAGGGAAATATCCCAATAAGCTGGTTCGAAGAGCTCAATTCCGCGACCAACACTTCGACGCCAACTGCAACCTGCTCTACCATGAGGTGGATAAAGTAACCCAAAGAGACAAGGTGAGAAGGATTAGCCTTCGAGGTTATACATCACTCTCTGAAAGAGTGTTTTAGGTGACGGTTCTGTCGAATATACGGATATCTAGAAATTTGGAATTGGAGTTGTTAGGAGAACAGGATCTCGATCGCGATGGGATAGCTCAGGTGGGCTGGGTATGTTTCTTTTTCTTCATTTCAGCTTCCATACTTGGTCAGTTCAGGTTCACTCATTTCGTTCTCTTCTCGAGCAAATGCTGGTGTTAGAACCGGCGAAAAGGATAACGTGCGGAGAAGCTATTAAGCATCCATTCTTTTCTATGAAATGAAATGTAATATAGTTGTTTTTGTGTGGTGTAGAGCACCTGGAACGAGGTTTGGTATAACGAATAGATATTGATAGTTGTTTATTGTTAACGCTCCAGGTTGCTTTGGGCATATTCTCTTTTTTACTAGTTTATTTATCGGTGTCGTTTTACGAGAAGGTTGTTATCATTATTTTTCATTGGCTATCAATAGATTGCGTGGCAGCGGAGAATAGGAGACTGTGCGAAAAGACTTTTGTAAGTTAAGGTCAGGAACGCCCTTTGTAAATGACATCCCTATGGTGTCATTTTCTTGGATGAAGGGTGGGAAAATAAGAGTTCTT